TGCTGGGGGAGGTTTGGGGTGCCCGGGAAGGGCTCAGGGGTTGTCCCCGCGTGTCCCCGMTSCCATCCCGGGGGTCCCGCCAGGAGCAGCGCAAGGATCCCCCGCGATTCCCGGGATGTTTTTCCCCGCTCCAGGGGCGCATTCCCAGCGCCCCCACATTCCCTGTCCCCGGGAGCGTTTCCAGCCCGGCTCTGGGTCCAGGTCGCCGTGTCCCAGCCCTAATCCCGCCCTAATCCCGCGCTTTAGGGGGATCGGCTCCCGCTCCCAGCCTGGCACGGGATTCCCGGGAAAACCGCGGCTGGAGCCCCAAAGCCTCGGGGCAGCCCGGGACAGGGAAAGGTGTCCCGGACCAGCTGGGATTTGGGATTCRCCGCGATTCCCTCAGGAACAGCAGACAAAGAATCCCTGGAATATAAAAAACTCAGGAAATCACCTTTTCTCCGAGCCGCGAACTCCCAGGAAAAGCCTGGGGTAGGAAAAGCTCCAACCCGATTTTTTCCCGTGGCRAAAATCAAAATCCCAACCCTACAGAACAAAATCCAAGAAAAACCACACAGCTCCTCAACTCCAAGGCGGGAATTTTCTGATGAAAATCCGGGTTTTTTTTTTCTTTTTTTATTTCACAAGTTGCTAAAATCTAAAGTACAACGGTCGTTTCTCGTTATCCACGGTGTCCTAGAAAATCCCGGCGGCTCCGAGCGGGAATTTTATGGCTTTAGGGACCCCCGGGATCCCTCTCCCCCGGAACAGCTCACGCAGCGAAGCTCGGCAAGGGCAGGAAAGGGGACCAGGGATCCATGGCTTGGGGTTTAACCCAGCCCTGTTCCCACAGATCCCAGAGATCCTGGGGATTCGGGAATCCCAAAGGGGATCCAAGAGATCTCAGGGATTCGGGAATCCCAAAGGGGATCCAAGAGATCTCAGGAATTCGGGAATCCCAAAGGGGATCCCAGAGATCTCAGGGATTCGGGAATCCCAAAGGTCTCAGGATTCAGGAACCCCAATTGGTTCAGGAATCCCAAATGGGATCAAAGAGATCTCAGGGATTCTGGAACCCCAAAGGGGATCCAAAAGCCCTCAGAGAATCCAGAATTCCAAAGGGGATCCAGCAGCAGGAATTTGTTCCCAAATTTGAGTCCAACCCCCCCTCCTCGACCATTCCCAACCATTTCCCCTCCAGGGCAGAACTCCACAAAGGGAATTTTCTGTGTAAGTGG